AATTCCGGAAAATATCAATCAAGATGAGCATAAAGTTAGATGTTCCACCTGAATAAGGAAAGCGACACATTGAATGGATGATAATTACATCTACAAATAAAGGAAATTTGTCAAGACAGATTTGTGGAGATAATGGACCTCTAATCAAGGAGAACAGATGGAGAGAATTATGTCACGATGATTTCCTATAATCAAGGAGATTTGCTTCTTATTTGTTAAGTTGTTTTGGTTAATTATTTTGCATGACTTTATATATTGTCATTTGCTGTATTATGAGAGGGGGTGTGAAATAATATCCAAATTTTCTACCTAATCTTCTTAGTTGCCTTCTCTCATTCTGTTTCTTCCCCATTCTTCTTTCCTCTACCTTCACGTAGGAGTAAGCACTCGTTCGAAAGAGTGCCGGAGCCGATACGAGGCCATATCCGCTTAAGTTGGGAGTTTGGGACATGATGATCATTTTCAAAATCATTTGAAATCCAAACCATCACTTGCTAATCGGGTTGTCCGGTTCGTCGATTCAACCATTTGGGTTGACAATTTGATGACTTAATCAATGGTTTTTTTGCAGAACAATGAGTTTTGATGAGAACTGGACCTAGAAAAGTGACTGGGTGATGATTTAGATGATTGGACCATTCAAGTCAATGACAGTTTGAAAACATTGTTGAAAAGGCAATTTTATGTTGCTAGAACACTTTGTTTGAATGCATGCATGCTTCATATATGTGGCAAATACATCAGTGAACAAAGTATTGGATATGGAATTTGCATTAAAAATTTGAAATATTTGTATGATACAACACCATTATACATGTAGCTGAAAACATGGGAAAGAGACTTTTGGAGAATGAGAGGCAATGAAACAAACTAAAATATCACCACTTTGTATATTTATTTAACTTTTCTATCTTTCAATTAAATGGAGGGTCTGGGATATGGTTAGAATATTTTAAGGGAATTACTTTAGTGGTAAAAAAAAGATTTGAGTAGTTTTTAATAAACAAGGGTGCTATTGTCTTGGAAACAGATAACCAACGTTAAAAAACTGATTTTTTTCGTATGTAAAGGGGGATAACTTTTGCTGTTTAGGGCCAACAGCCTATGCTATATGCTATTGAGAGAGTTTTTGGGCTGAATGGCAATTCACCTATTCACGCCCATGTTTTTTTGGTTAAAATAAATTAGGGGGTAATTACTAATTTACCCACTCTCATTGGTAACATGGCATTCCCAAAAATTCTCTTAATAGCATAGGTTGTTGGCCCCCCAGGAGCCAAAGTTTCTCTTGTAACGGGTGCTGATAAACACACAAATAGAGTCTACTGCTTGGTGGGACATATATATATATATATATATATATATATATATAATTGTGTTCTCAATGAAGTTAGAGTTATTCTCAATGTAAAGGGGAATAACTTTGGCTGTTTGGGGCCAACAACCTATGCTATTGAGAGAGTTTTTGGGCTAGACATGTTCATGGTGATTCACCTATTCACGTTCATGTTTTTGTTTTTGGTAAAAATACATTAGGGGGCAATTACTAATTTACCCACTCTCATTGGCAACGTGGCACCAGAGGCGAGCCATGGCCCCCCCTATGATTTAGAAAATCTTCATAGTAATACACAGTTTTTTATGTAAAATTTCCCCTCTCCCCACTGTCCACCTCAATGGTTGACCCCCCCTATGGGTCCATCTATATTTCATTTAGGTTTTGGCCCCCTTTATCAAAATTTTTTGGCTCCACCCTTACGTGGTGTTTCCAAAAACTCTCTCAATAGCATAGGCTATTGGCCCCCAACAGACAGTTTTTCTTGTAACGGGTGTTGATAAACACACAAATGCATAGAAAGATGTTTACTAAGAATAAAAAGATATAATTGTGTTCTCAATGCAGTTAGAGATGTTCTCAATGTAGTTAGAGCTTTTCCTTATTTTACTTTTCCTCTTTCTTCTTTTCCTTTAAGGCAATATAGTTATTGATGCCTTGATGGTCACAAATGTGCTTACACTAGGGATAAATTATTGCTATTATGTTAGTATTGTTAATATCAAAACAACTGAGTTCATTTATTTATTTCCATTTACCAAATAGATATCTCCTGCAAGGTTTAAAAAATCATTACGTATCCGGCCCTTCCTGATATGCCCCTACAGGGGTTGTATCGGGTCAGAGCCTGGTTCAGAGGGTGGCTGGGACTTAAACTGGCACCTCTGAACCAAAATCGAAAAAAAGCGGAAATTAAAAAAAAGGGCTGATACTGGTCAATGGTGTATCGGCGAGTATTGATACTTTGAACCTTAATCTCCAGTGATGCCACGTCTAGCAGAATGCTGAATCTTTGTCATTTTGTAAACCAGTGTTTTTAGTACACCTTGACTCATTTGTAGGATTTTATGTTCAACTTTCCTAAAACTTAGGTTTTAGTAAAACATTGTTGACTTGGTTTTTTTTTTTAACTTGGGTGGTTAGATTGTTGACCCGTTCAACCTAGTGTTTAGGTCATGTGTTGCACATTTAATGCACATGCTAACTTTCGGAGGTTGTAACTTTGTGCCCAGTAGACTTGTTCATGGGCCACCGGATTCGAGCTAAGCTTTGTCTATGTATCAATAGAATACATTCAGGCCCGAGCCCGTGCCCGACCCGACCATTGGGCCTAGGTCTTGAGTCTGAGCTCGACCCTCATATAAAACCCAAAACCTAGGCCCAAGCTTGATCCTGGCCATAAGTTTGAAAATAGATTGTTTTTTTCTTTTTTATTCAATGAAAATGTATTTTATTTATATTAAAAGCCCTCAAAACTCAAAAATAATAAAATATCTCACTATTACTTGAGAAAAAGAGGAGGAACAAAGAAAAAAATATCCTATATACATTTTATTGAATAATATATGTTTTTCATTATATATATTATCAAGTCGGGCTTGAGCTTGGGCTAGGCTTTTTTGAGAAAGCTCGAGTCTGGCTCGAAAAAAGGTCATGCCCAAAATTTTAGGCCCGAGTCTAAGCCCACAGGCCTAAAATCATGTCCAAGCCCAACTTAGAATGGGCTGGCCCACTCGGCCCGTTGGGCTACCCAGCCCATGAATAGGTCTAGTGTCCAAATGTCTGATTGGAATGATTTTTTTTTTTTTTTTTTTATTTTGGATAACTTTTTGAGATCTATGCATCCCAAGGTATCTTCATTTTTTTTGCCAAAAAAAATTTTCTAATCTCAAATCACAAATTTTAGCATTTTTTATAAATTAAATATAAAATAATGCATATATTGCATATAGAATATGATTATATATTATTTATTGATAAAATGTGTATATAAGTGTATTTGCTAATATGGCACAATTTAATCCATTTGACCAAACAGACCAATGATTCATTACCCAGAGGTAAAAACGGTTCGGCCTCTGAATATGCTATTAAAACATTATGGTAAACACACAAAGCAAAATGATTGAGAATATAATTGAATTAATGACGCTAGCTACAGAAATTGAAATATTTGCTTTGCCCATTGGGTGTTAGTTAACCCACTTTGGACTCGACTTGATACTTATTCTACTGAACCACTATGAGAGAGAGAGAGAGAGTGCAGCCTGCTGGGTAGTGTTTACACCTTTGGAAGAAGACAAGCAGATTGTCCACAAAAGCGAGACCACAGTTATGACAAGTCACGAGTCTAATGTCTTTGATTAATGGCATTTGGAATTTTCAATTCCAGTTTGTAACTCACTTGGACGGCACCAAGCTGCGACATGGCGTGTTCTTCCAGGCGAATTGATCTTTTATATCGAGAGTTTCTAAAACAAACGAAAACCATTTCATTTTAAAATAATAGATTAATTGATCCTTGAAACAAAAACCCATAAATCATATTTTGACTTTTTTTTTTGTCACATAAACCATTTTCATTCCGAATCGATTTTTAAAACATTGCTAAAAATCACTATTCTCAAGTTCAGGAGCAAAATCAATTTATTTTTGCTTTTTAAAGGCCGTGTTTGGAAACAATGCAAATAGAGTGTAGATTTATGTTTAGGGTAAATTTGAATTCTGGTTCACTTTTGAATATCATATTTATGCATTGACAAATGACAACGGATCAATACATATTTACATTGATAATAAATGTAAAAGTACATCAATAAAAAAGAAGTAACTTTACATTCAAGTGGGCTTTTGATAAATAGAAACATATACTTTATTGGAATTCATGTTTGTATCCATTACAACTAAAAGTCTGTTTGATAAAAAGATAAATTTGTCAATACAAAATTAATTCAATTTTACAATTTATATGAACCGTTTTAACACTCTACATGTTTGCATCGTTTCCAAACACAGCCAATAAAAACACGATTCATTAAAGGGACATAACATTTTTAAAAGAAATAAAAACAAAACATTCATGTCATATAACACCCCCTCGAAATAGGGTGAAGTTTCTTGGGCGGCCTGACTCTTTGTTTGGGTGATTGTGAATAAAACCATCAGACAGGCGGATTAGTTGAAAGTGATGTCACATTGGATACCTGGATGGATTATCTGACTATTTAGATGGGATGCCTTTGCCCTTTGGTGATTGGTCTAGCTCCACCTTAAAGCTATCAATGCATACGCCACGCCACCAATCAACTGTTTTTAGTCATGTTTTAATAAATTAATGGCTAAACTTTGATTCCAGATTCCTAACTTGCCACGTGTCATGTTCCGAGAATTGGAAGCTGCAAAGGGACGGGATGGGTCCTACTTAATTACCACATCAGTTGTCCCAAATGCATCCCAATCAACAGATCAAGAATAATAGGTTGGTTTGCCCCAGTCCTGGTTACTCCGGAGTCAGGACTACCCTTGACCGGTTTATTTGCTGGACTGAACGAATCGCCCGAGTTGAGACCCAATTTTCCAACTACATCGGAGCTGACTAAAGCAGTCATCAGCTCTCGACCTTTCAAAACCTAGTACAGGTGGCAATTTATGGGTCTAGACAAACATCACCACGTGGGAAGGAAAGGTGGTGAAAAAAGTGAAGCATATCATCTCTTGTCGTGCTTGATGTTGATCCATTTTTGGTAAATTGAGTCAACGGTATTGTCATAATTTCTCACCACTAGAGGAATTATCAAATCGACAAATCGCACCTCTCTCTCTCTCTGTGTGGAGTGCAACTGGAACCAACGTATGATCTTTTCATTTTTCCCCTCGTGCTGGTTTTTGGAATTCCTTCTTTCTTCCTCTCTGTTGCTTTCACTGACGCATTGGCTCAGCGTCGGAGCTCCTCTCTCTCTCCTCACGCGGGTGGTGGTGAGTGGTGACGGGACAAACCCAGCCGGCCAGCCCCCACCCCCCACACAACCGTACAGCGCGCACACACACTCCACCAGTAAATGACATCTGATCTAATAGATTCTTGCGCACCATTATCAGTGCTTCTAGAGGAGCAGGTTTCAATGTGGACCCGTCGCGAACCCCGTCGGCTCGTTGCTCTGTTTCAATTGTTCTTTGTCAACTACCTATATCTTGTTCCTTGTTAATCCATAAGAAAGATGTATGATCTCTCAGTTAGTCTTTCACCATAACATGGCGATGTCATCTTCATTCCTCCTTTTGCTTCTTCACCTTCTTCTCCTCTCTCTGCAACACTCTATCCTCCGAGCCATCTCTTCAAGCAATGTAAGTTTCCTTTTTTTTTGTTTTTTTTTTTTTGAATTGCTTTCTTCCATTACTTTTGTTTCATTTTTTGCTAACACTGTTCTATTTGCGTATTTTTTTTTCTTTTTCTCCCAAGGTTTACATTGTTTACATGGGAGAGAGACGCCACTATGATTCTCAACTTATTCAGGACTCGCACCATGAAGTTCTTTCCACTCTGCTCGGAAGGTTCGACCTTTCTATAGTTAAAAAGATATCATTTTCTTCTTGTTACCTCTGTGTCTTTAGGAGATTCCATAATCCACATACATCGTTATATGGAGTTTTCCTTCATTATTTTCTCGCAAAAAGTTGCTGCTAGTGAAAATGTGTTTTACTCCGTAGACGATTAAAATGCCCAATTTGATCTTTTCTTTCCATTCGAACCTTGTTTCCTTTGTAGTCAGGAAGCTGCGAGGGCGTCCATTTTGTATAGCTACAAGCATGGGTTTTCGGGCTTTGCTGCTGTGCTAAGTCAATCTCAAGCAAAAGCCATTGCAGGTTTGTTGGTGAGCTGAACTAATCTGTTGTGCTAACTTGATTGGTTCGCACTAAATGAAAAGAAAAGAAACATTAATGCAGATTTCCCTGGAGTTATTCGTGTTGTTCCAAACCGTATTCTTAATGTGCACACGACTAGAAGTTGGGATTTCCTGCAGTTGAAATCTGAGATCATCGATGGAATTCTATCGAGGAGTCAATCAGGTGATGGCTCAATTATTGGAGTCCTGGATACGGGTATGTTTCTCTTTTCTGTATTTGCATCTGAAAAATGGGGAGTGGAGGCAACTGGGTTTATCTTTACTCATAATTGAATTCACATTTGTTGTGCAGGAATATGGCCCGAGTCCGAGAGCTTCAATGACGATGGCATGGGAGAGGTTCCATCTCGATGGAATGGGGTGTGTCAGGAAGGAGAGGAATTCAATTCTTCCAATTGTAACAGGTCAACTTCACATTCAGCTCCTGCCATACTCTGTCTCTATTGATCTGTTTAGTTTCATTTATTTACTTTTTATTGCTTGCATGCTTTGTTATATTCTGATCTACAAATTCCCTTCCCCTTAATCAAGGTCTTCGGTCTTAGCGGTTCTTATGTTTTCTATTAATCCATCTATCTGATTTTTATTATATTGTTATTCAACTACTACTACTTCAGGTTCTTGTTTAACAGTAGTTCTAGACTGTGGACAAAGGAACCTTCATGTGTGCTGTGGAGATTTTGTGACTTGATGTATCTTATTAGTGTAGTCCCTATTGTATATTACTTATATATCTTATTCTTTTTCTCTTTCAGCCCTATATGCGCATTCTTGTAATTGTACATATCTTTTAATATATAAGAGACTCTTTGAGATGGGGGTCATTCATTCTTGATACCACTAAGATTATTTTTGTTGTTTTTTGTATTCAGTCAAGGGTGTTGACATGGTATTAGAACAGGTTGCTTTCTGATCTACTTTCTCTCTTGAACATCACTAGAAGCAGTAATCCTATCGTATCAGGGCTGTTTTGATCAACCCTTTTTTGTTCAGCCTACTTTGTGCAACCAGCAGGAGAGATTTTATTAGCTCTCTTGGGAGACATTTGTTCGAGGCCAAACTTCAGATCTTGTGTCGCCTAGACCTGATCTATTCTCTCCCTACAAACAGTATCTGATTTGGTGAAGTTTTTGATGGAGTTCTGATCTTCTTCTTGGGGTGGCAATGCTATACAATTTCCTTTTTTGGACTGCAACAGCTTTGGACTTCAGACCTTCTACACTAGCTTGTGATTTGGGATTTTCTTTCTAGATTGAAGGGGTTCTCTCAAGCTCTTTTTAACCCTACACTCAGTTTCTGGTTTGGAGTTTTCTAAGGACTGTTTTGATCAACATAAGGTACCTCATTGTTCTTGGAAAATATGCCTAATATGTTGGTAAATCACAGTTTTCTCTCAATTGGTTGACTTGATCAACCTATAACCCTAGATCTGGTGTCATCCTAGGGTTTTCTTGCTTCCCACTTATCTGTTTCAGATTTCAGATTGATATTTGAGAGATTTTAGATTCAACAATTCTAAAACTTGCCTTTTTGGACTGTCAACTTGAGTTCTTGACTGCTTAAGTTGTTTATGGTATATTATTGCAGTCCCTTGACTTTCTCTAGTATTGGAATACCTCTCTTTCCCTTGGACTAGAGTGGACTGTTTCTAAATTTTGTTTTCTCTAATATCCTTGGGTCTAAGCTGTCGTTTTCTTGCTGAAATGGCCTCTGATAGAGACGATATTATTCCTATAAAGCTGGATGATCAACCTATGGGATTAACACTGCTGTTGTAGCACATGGGAGTAAGAAATCTACTAATGGTGGTGATTCTTTTGTTAAAGGTGATTCTATGGAATCTATGGTTGGGGAAAACATTCGACAACTGGTAACATTTGCCATCTCTTTTGTCTTTTCTGCTATTGGCTTACCTGGTGAGTTTTCCGGTTATTGTTCTTCTCCCTCTCATGTTTAGATCATTGACTCTGGAGCTACCAACCATATGACAGGAGTCTACCCTAACCAACCAAGTAACCTTATTGAAACCCATCACAAACATATTGTTACTGCCAATGGTGAAAAGTTAAACATCATAGGTAGTAATCTGTCTCTTAAGCTTTCACCCACTACATTTTTCCTACTTACCAAGACCTTTCTTGTTCCTAATCTCACTACAAATCTGATTTCTGTTGGCCAATTAGTTGATAAATGCAACATTCTCACCTTTTCTCATGAAGGATGTTTGATTCAGGACTGAAACACTGGGAAGGGGAAAGGGAAGGGGTGTAGGTTGGGCCGTTTGTTTGCACTGGAGTTTGAGAAGCTTCAAATAGCAACATCATCAGCTTATTTCAATTCCTCCACTTCTAGTTCCTTTCCGAGTTATAGAAATAATTTTTGGTACTTATGGCATAAACTTTTGGGTCATATACATGCTGAGAAATTAAAATTTTTGTTCGATTCAGGCCTTATTAAGAATAGAGTTCCTTCCTTGTAGACCTTTGATACATCTTGTGTTTCTTGTTGTTTAAGAGTTGTACTTTACCATTTCTTCACGTGTTTGAGCATGCTACTTCTCCCTTTGAGCTTATACATAGTGATGCCTGGGCTGCATCTGTCACTTCTCATCTTGGATACAAATATTTTGTCGTTCGTTGATGTTTGTACCAGGTACATGTGGATATACTTTCTCCACCACAAGTCAAAGGTGTTCCCAACATTTAAGTTGTTCCATGCTATGGTATGGGTTTGGTTTCAATCACAAGGGCTTATTCTCCGTTCGGATTTAAGGGGAAAATACACTGATGGGGATTTTTTGTCCTATTTGAAGAATCATAGAATACAAGTGTAATGAAGTTGTCTAGATACTCCTCAGCAGAATGGTGTGGCTGAGTGCAAGAATGGACATATCCTTAGTGTTGTGAGGACATTATTATAGGAGTCCCTTACTCCACCTTCTTTTTGGGTAGAGGCAACCAGTACAACAGTGTTTTTGATCAACTATATTCCTTTCCCAATTCTTGGTAATATGTCTCTCTTTCAGAAGTTGTTTGGTCATTCTCTAGATTTATCTATGCTTCATGTTTTTGAGTGTGTGTGCTTTGTTCATCTTCTCCCTCGTGAGTGTTCTAAATTGTCTGCACAATTTTTCATGTGTGTCTTTGTGGGTTACAGTCCTGACCACAAAGGATTTCTTTGTTATGATCCCTCTATTTGTCGCATTTGTATATCACGTAATATTGTTTTCCTTGAGCACATTTCTTTTTTTGCTTGAATTGCTAGACTATCTGCACCGTCTGTTTCTATTTTACCAAACTTTGATTCACAGGATCCTCCATCTCCTTCTGTTGTGAAGGACTTTCTCGTCTTCTCTCGCAAGTGGTTACGTGCTCCAACCCCTGCACCTGCGACTCTCCTTCTTCCTGGTTCAGATAATCATCTTACCACTGCTCCTGCAAGTGATACCTCTATTTCAGATACTCCTCATATTTCTATTCCCCTTTGTCGTTCTACTCGTATATCTAAACCTCTTGATCGCTATGGTTTCCCTTTAAACCATTGTCTGTTGTTCTATTTTCCACAGATATTCCTTGTTCCTACTAGGAAGCTAGTAGTAACCCTCATTGGAAGGAAGCCATGGATGTAGAGATTCATGCTTTACATGAAAATGACACTTGGAATGGTGGGTGCCGAACCCAACCAAAGATAAATAGTCTTGCTCTGGGTTAATAATTTGCAGATAGTGATGAGCATGGTCGTTCTCCACAGGGATTGGGTGGATTTATTTCCAAGTAGATGGATTAAGGGGGGTTGTAAGCTGAGGAAAATAAGAAAATAGCAGAAAATATCAGAAAACAAAGATTAAATCGATGGGAGATGGCTTCCGGTTGAAGGGACAAGTTCAGCTTTGATTCGTAGCATTGATCCTTGATG